TTTTTTAAGACACAGACGCCTTCTATTCCCCAGGCTGGAGTGCAGTGGTGCAATCTCGGCTGACTGCAACCTCCACCTCCTGGGTTCAAGCAATTCTCATGCTTCAGCCTCCTGAGTAGCTGGGATTACAAGTGCACACCACCACACCCAGCTAGTTTTTTTAGTACAGATGGGGTTTCACCATATTGGCCAGGCTGGTTTCAAACTCCTGACCTCGTGATCCGCCCACCTTAGCCTCCTGAAGTGCGGGGATTACAGATGTCAACTACTGCACCTGACCAATTTTTGTATTTTTTTTAGTAGAGACAGGATTTCACAATGTTGGCCAGGTTGGTCTCAAATTCCTGACCTCAAATGTTCCACCTGCCTCAACCTCCCAAAGTGCTGGGATTTTTTTGGGGGGAGGGGATGGAATTTCACTCTTTTTGCCCAGGCTGGAGTACAATGGTGCAATCTCGGCTGAGCCATCATGTTATCTGAGATAGATATGTCATACTATGATAACATACCGTATATGATCTTGACATCATCTCCAATAAGGCAGATCTCCAAGTATTCATGGGAAATGACTTCTAGCCAGGTACAGTGGCATGCACCTGTAGTCCCAGCTACCTGGTATGCTGACGTGGACTGGGAGGATCACTTGAGTCTAGGAGTTCTGGGCTGTATGTATTAAATTTAAAAAGATGAATGTGTACAGTGGCTCACACCTGTAATCCCAACATTTTGGGAGGCCGAGGCAGGCGGATCACTTGAGGTCAGGAGTTTGAGACCAGCCTGGCCAATATGGTGAAACCCCGTCTCTACTAAAAATATAACAATTAGCCAGGCATGGTGGCGTGTGTCTATAGTCCTAGATAGTTGGGATGCTATGCTACCAATAAATATTGAGTCTAATAAGGTAATAAAAAAAAAATAAAAGGAAAAGGAAAAAATGCAGTTGGGAGGCGGGGGCACGAGAATCGCTTGAAGCTGGGAGGCAGAGGTTGCAGTAAGCCAAGATCACACCACTGCACTCCAGCCTGGGTGACAGAGCAAGACCCTGTCTAAAAACAAACAAACAGCAAAAAGCAGCAGATATAGGATGATCCCTTTTGTTTAAATAATACAACTATTCCTATACATTAATATACATTGATGCATAGAATAAAAATCTAAGCTGGGCAGGCAGCTATAGGTCCAGCGACTAAGGAAGCTGAGGTAAGAGGATTTCTGGGGCCCATGAGTTCAAGGCTGTAGTCAGCTGTGATTGTGCCTGTGAACAGCCACTGCATTCTAGCTTGGGCAACATAGTGAAAGCTTACTGGTACAAAAAAAAAAAAAAAAAAAGAAAGAAAGAAAGAAATTTTAAAAAATAGCCAAGTGTGGTGAGGCATGGGTATAGTCCTATGTACTAAGGAGGGTGAGGAGGGATGTGATACCCTGCTTTTTGCCAGCTAAAGCTAACTCTCCTTTCCCTGAGTAAAAGCTGTTCAGGCTTTATGTTAGACTTTTCGAGCTGAAAAGACTCTGTCTTGGCTTCTTCATTTTAGTAACCTTCTCCCCATTAAGTATGTAACTATAGTATACAGCAAGGTCAGACTGACTCTGGGCACCCAGAAATGCCTTTGTTGATAAGAGGCTGAGTAAAGTGGTATCAGCAAAGCCTGGAAATGCAGCTGCAGTGAGCGCCTAGAGCCCGCCTTGTCTATAAGTTGTATGTCTTTCAAGACAGTGGTACTCCTCACACCTGGCACTGTTTTATTTCTTATATATCAGTTTTTCTTTTTAACTTTTGGCTTACTCTGTGTTAAAACTTTGTTTCAGCTAGGTTCCCCCCTTCCTGGTAAAACTAGTGTATAAAAGATGACCTAACTTTTTCTTCGGGGCCGAGAGAATTTTGGGCATTAGCCACTCTCGGTCGACGGCTTAATAAAGAACTCATAAATCATTCTCAGAGTGTGGCACATTCCTTGACTCGCTCAGGTACAACAGGGAGAATTGCTTGAGTAGAGGAGGGTGAGGCTGCACTGAACTGTGATCATGCCACTGCACTCCAGCATGGCTGACAGAGTGAGATCTTGTCTTTATAACTTAATAAATAAATAAATAAGCCGAGTGCTGTGGCTCACGCCCATAATCCCAGCACTTTGGGAGGCCGAGGTGGGTGGATCACTGAGGCCAGGAGTTTGAAACCAGCCTGGCCAACACCACAAAACCCCCGTCTCTACTAAAAGTACTAAACAATTAGCTGGGCGTGGTGGCACACACCAGTAATTTCAGCTATATGGGAGGCTGAGGCACGAGAATCTCTTGAACCTGAGAGGCAGAGGTTGCAGTAAGCCAATATTGTGCCACTGCACTCCAGCCTGGGCGACAGAGCAGGACTCTGTCTCATAAATAAATAACATGTGAACCATGAAGTAACAAGACTATTTTTATTAAAGTGACACAACCAGATAAACATTGGAGCTATCTTTGTGGAGTTAGGGTAAGCACTATGGAAGACAAAAAGAATGAGACATTGCCGTCCTAAAAGATTTCTGGAGACAGCTTTTGGAAGTGCCTTTACTGCCTGAATATGCTCTCCAGGTTGAATTTAATTTGTAGCAATGGCCAAAAGCCATCTAGTTGGGTCTAGTTAACAACCTGGATACGTAATTTTGTCTAAATTGTGACTCTACAGTAGAGTGACAGGTTTTATTATGTGACTTGTAAAGCAGCAGCTCCAATTACTTCCAAAAACATTAATTGTCAGCAACAATGATAAATTAAGTGGATAATGCAACGAGACAAGGTAACTACAGGGAAGGACAGCTTATAATGGATACATTCTGGTTCCCTTAAAAAACCAAAAACCCCAGTAACAACAAACTAGTTGTTAATACCTATTCACCCAGCCCTGGATACCTTCCTGTTCTTTTTTCCATTTCTGATCATCTTCTGCATAATCGCCAGGGGTGCAAAATTAGGGGCCAGAAGATATTCACAAATTTCAATATTCTGTAATACAGAGTTAGAAGGAAGTGTCAATGAACGAGTTACAATTACATCCTTTATTTCTTGCAGGTAATAATTTGTTTTCTCATGCTTTGTTAAGATAAAGGGTTAGGCCAAGGAGGGAGAATCACTTGAGGCCAAAGTTTGAGATCAGCTCCGCCAGCATAGTGAGACCCTGTGACTA